AAAGAAAGCAAGTGGGATCCCATTGTCACTGACATCTTTATGAGAGAATGAATCTACATTCATTCAGACCCCATTAGTTTGACTCTCTTAGCCTTATCCTTGAACTTCACTCAGTACTAGGGTCCTCGCCCTGGAAATCCACCCACCCCTAGCAACTTTCTCAACCTGGATCATCCCATTGTAAGGGGATGTCCTCTTCTCCCGTTGGTGAATTCCTCCTGAAGTCTTCATTTTGTGGAAGGGCCCAGGGCAGCCTTCACCCCACCACTTTTAAGTTTTCTTTTGTGTGTTGTTTTCCCCCCATTAAAATGTAAGCTCCATCGGGCAGAAACTGACTTTATTTTTGCTTTTATTTGTAACCCCAGTGCTTAGCATAATCACATAGTAAATGCTTAATGCTTCCTTCCTCCTTCCTTCCATCTCTTCCTTACTTCTTGCTTGCTTACTTCCTTGCTTCCCTCCCTCCCTCTCTCCTCCCTGCCTTCCCCCTCCCTCTCTCCTTCCCTCCCTCCCTTCCTTCCCTCCTTCTTTCTTTTATTCATTCCTTCTTTCCCTTTGTTTGAGGCCATCCCCCCTCCCACTCTAACTTCCCTTCCAAACTTATCTTCTCCCCCTCCATGTGCCCTACCTATTTCACTATTATGACTGTTGTATTCTTTAATTTTATTTTTTTTAAGGTTTAAAAAAGAGACCTTTCTTTGCCCAGACTAGATAAGAGTGAGGTAATGAGACTTCTCAAGATTTCTTCCCTTGGACATTTTTTTTGAATACTCAGGCACACAGCTTGCCACACACACACTCTCTCCCCACCCGCATCACACACACAATTAGCTCTTAGGGATGGTCTCTTCTTCCACTTTCAGGTTCTAGGGACTTAAACACCACAAAACAGTCTGAAAAAAGCTTCCTTATACTTGTAATGTTGTTCTCTATGTTGCCTTTTAAAATCTCCTCAGTTCTAGTTTTTTTCAATAGAAGTGCTCAGAAGTCATGGATTCTGAGTTTTTTGTTTTTGTTTAGATCTGTAACTTCATTACAAAATGAACACCCTTAGTTAATACTAATTAATAATTATTATGCAACTTATATACTTAGAGAGATGGCTGGGTCACTAAGAGGTTGTGATTTTCCCAGGTTCACACAAATAGTTTGCCAGAGTTTGAACACAGGTTATCTTGACTCAAAGGCCAATTTTCTATTCATTATACCATTCTTCCTCTTATTAACACTAGCTTGTTATGTTAAAAGTTCTTTTCACCTATAGAATAATGATTCTACAGGATGTTATTAAAAGTCACTTTCTATGTTTTTGATGTCATATGCCAATATTTTCTTTCATTTCTCCTACTTGATGCATAGTCCCACACAGTTCTGACTAATGTTTCATGGTTACACGTGTGGCCACAATGGTAGGGAACCTTCCCTCTTTTCCTCTTGACCCAGGCTACCAATGTGAGGGTGGGGGGGGGGTGAGGAGCAACTTACATTTCCTCAACCCAATCCTTGCCTCATTTCTAATAGGTTTTGGGCACTCACTCTCAGCTAGATGCTGAGTTCTCTCTCTCATCCCACTTCTCTTGGAGGTAACCCTGAATCAATCCCACTTTACTCTGACCCTGGGACCTGTTAACCTCTTCCCAACAGTCATTGGTGGAGGGAGACAATTTGCCTATTCATTACACTCAACTTCCTTGGGACCTTACCATCTTGGCCTTCTACTTTGCCTGACAAATCCTAAGCACCGACTAGTCTTTCCATCTCCTGTAAATTGGCATCTTCCATTATGTGGTGTTTCATCCAATTAGAATATGAGATCTTTAAAAACAGGATTGAAAGCCTGGTTTTCTATTTCTAACCCCAGTGCTTGGTATGTAGTAAGCTGTTACTACATGCTTTTCCATTTCATTCTCATGGCTCCTTATTAACTCCAGGATCAAATATAAAATCCTGTTTGGCTTTTAAAGCCTTTCAAAACCTGACCTCTTCCTACCATTCTAATCTTTTTACACCTTACTCTCCTCCATGTATTTTGTGATGCAACGACATTTACTTCACACAGGACACTCTGTCTCTTGACTATCCATTTTTACTGGCTGCATTCCATGCCATTCCATGTCATTCTCTCCCTTCTCATCTCCAACTGCAGGCTTTTTTGGCTTCCTTAAAATTCCAGCTAAAAATTCCACCTTCTACAAGAAGCCTTCCTGATTTCCCTAGTGCCTTCTCTGTAATTATCTCCAGTTTATCCTGTATATATCATGTTTGTACATAGTTGTTTGCATATGGTCTCTCCCATTAGACTGTGAGCTCCTTGAGAGCAGGAAGTGCCCCCAGCTCCCTTTCTTTGTATCCTCGGTTCTTAGCCCAGTACCTGGCACATATTAGATGCTTAACAAATACTTATTCACTTGACCTGTAATCTACATCTTCTTTGTAATACATATTACAAGTAATATATATGTACAAGATATACAAATGATAGATCATATATGTATGCATGCATGTATATATGTGTATGCATTTTAATAACTTAAAACCTTATTAAGACTTCTTGAACACCTTGTATGTATATCTATCTATCTCAGATGATTCTGGATCTTGGCATGTTGTTGCTGTTTGTCCTTTGTTTTCAAAGATAACCAACAAAACTATGGGGTGATGTCTTCACTTGTGTGTGAGTTGGATTTAAGTGAGGGAGAGTTGTGCAAAGTTGGCAACCTCACTCTCTCTTACTGAGTCATTGAAATCCATTGGCAAGACAAAAGTCAAGATGACTGGTGATGGCCCAGGGTACAGTAGATGACCTTGGCATTTTTGATGTCTCTAGGTACTCCACAGCATATTTGGGTATTATATTTGGGGTTTCTTTGTGGTGGTAATCTTTGAATTCTTACCAAGCTACACTTTGACCTCTGGATCATTTGAGAAACTTTTTAGTTTCCGATAAATTTTCTTTTATGATTTCTTAAAGTGTGGTACTTGGACTTTTTGCTTTGATGTGCTCTTATGAGAATGTCATGATTCTCAGATTCTCTTTTTGCTTTGTCTTCTGAGTCAGTTGTTTTTGCTACTATATATTTCACATGCTCTTTCAGTTATTTTTAAAAAAATACAATTTGTGATTGTATCATTTGAGGTTGTTTCATTCATTTTTTTCTGGGTGTCCTCTATGCTTAAATTTCATAACTTTCATTCTAGGCAGTCTATCCCACTCTTCATCTCTTCTTTATCTCTTTATTGGGTCCTCTAACCTCTCACAGAATCCTTGTGAGCATTCCATATTCTTTTCTGAGGTTACTGCATAATTATTTTCTTTTCACATTTTATTCTAGAATTCTTTCCCTCTGTCCCATATTTCATTTTTAGGAGTTCTCCTCTGATTTATTTCCTCAGTCCCTCCATTTTTCTTTTCTCCAACCCTGTACCTTGGAGGTCTTTATTGATGAAATTCTCATTACCGAGGCAGTGGAAGACTGATTAAATTGTTGTTGAGGGTAAGGAGGAATTGGTGAATGATCTTGGTTATTGTCCATATCGTGTAGTTTTAAACTTTCTTTGACTCAGTGGTTGTTAAAAGCATCCCTTTAAGCAATGAATATGGAGTGAAAAGTGCTCTGTATGAGGTACAAGGTGCTGCTAACTACATTGGATTTTAGGGTGCTTGGTGAGGGCCAAAGACAAAAGAACTCCCTCAGGATGCTCAAGTGCCTTCAGTCTTTTGTTTCCTTAGTTGCACACTTGCATATGCAATTTATTGTTTTCTCTTATTTTTTGCTTCATGTTCCCAAACTTCTGAGATTTCTGAGTTTCCAAAAACTATGATTTTATCCATAATGTTCATTTTGGTTCAAATAAAACTTTTTTTTTTTTGTAGCACTTTAGCCCCTTGGACTAGAAATATTTTGTCCTCCTGAGCAGACATGGATGTTCTAAGCCTATGCATGCTGTCCCAGGTAGCTAATCATGGCCTTAGGGTCTCTGAATCAGAAAACAAACATGTCTGACAACCAACAGGGATGGGACTTTTCTTAAATAAATAAGGAAAACTTGTAACACACTTGATATTGCAACTCCCATAAGTCATCTGAAAGACAACTTCAGACTTAGAACTAAGGAATCAAGGCTGTAGTGGGTAATTGCTGGGCCTGGAGTTAGGGAGACCTAAATTTAAATCCAGTCTCAGGTACTTACAAGTTGTGTGACCCTGGGGCAAGTCACTTACCCTCAATTTGTCTCAGTTTTAGCAACTGTAAAGTGGGGATAACAATAGTACCCATCTCCCAGGGTTGTTGTAAGGATCAAATGGTATGTTATTTATAAGGTGCTTATCACATTGCCTCCCTTCCTTCTTGACCTCTTGAGACTTCTGCTGGCTCTAAAGAATATTCCTTTGTTGTTGTTGAGTCATGTCCTACTCTTCATGACCCCATTTGGGGGTTTCTTGGCAAAGATACTGGAGTGGTTTGCCATTTCCTTCTCCAGCTCAATTTACAGATGAGGAAACAGCAGCAAACAGGGTTAAGTGACTTGCCCAAGGTCACCCAGATAGTGTCCGAGGCCAGATTTGAACTCACAAAGATGAGTCTTCCTGTCTTTAGGTCCAGCACTCTATCCAATGTGTCACCTATGATATTTTTTAGGTAATATAAATTCTACACATGAGCTATTTTTTTCCCTCTCTTTTGTAGTGGCTAGTTTACCACAAAAACCACTCGCTCATTTAGAAGTCAATTAAAGCCAAATGTATGAAATATGGACAGGTGAATCTGATCAATTTCCCTGCTCCAACAATTTCTTCAGATGCTAATACAATATTAATTTACCTTTTGTATTCATGCTAAGCAGATGGAAAGAATAAAATTTTGCATTCTAAAAGGCAGCTAATAATTTTCTGGGTTCACCTGGGTACTTAGTTATCTCTGTACCTACTTTTCACCAATATAAGTAGCTGATTTGTTCAAGCCAGACGTGTCAAAACACCAAACTGGTATTTCTGGAGGTATAGGTATGAGGCTAATGCCAAATAGGTTTATTGTATTTAGAAAAAGAAAAAAGCACACTTGAATGTTAAAGGTTTATCATCCAAAAGAAGGAGATAGTTAAGCCTTCGTGTCTTCAGTGACAATTTCTAGGCCCCTGGCCCAAGCCTCGGTTAATCCAACCAAGATGCTGGAAAGCAGAGCACACAGCTGTCCCCATCAGTCCTAGGAGAGCAAGGGAACCCACCATGCCTCGGTTTCGCTTGCTTGGTTCTATAAAAGAAGTAAGAAGAATAAGTTACCCAGGAGGTTCCAAGTTTTATGCTTGGCAGACATACCATGAAAGTGTCTTAGGTTTATCAGGCACTTCGTCTTCAGGCGGTTAACACAGAAAACCATAACTGCAGGCTAAACTTGTTATCAGTACTTGGCATACTAGATAGAAACAATATCATGAAACAGCACTATAGGGTACCTGATAAGACATGGCAAGAGTCCATGACCCTGCTTCTTTGGGGCAGAATTCTTTCCCCTGTGCACTCCTGCTTTTCTATCTTTTTTAAAAAACTCTTGTTTATGGTGAGTTTCCCCAAAGCCATGTTTGAATTTTAGATCATTGATCTAAATCTCAGTCTGGTATATCCTCCCAGCTCCTATCTCCATTCTCACCTCCCCCCCCCCACATTAAAGCCATGCTCAGCTGAAAGAAGACTGAGTAGGTTATATATTAAGGGATCAAACTACATATAGATGTATACTCATATAAATATACTCACCTCCTGTGTAATAGCCATAAGCAAAAAGTACACGTCCAATTATCCATGCAATCCCCAAACCGGAAGTTAAGCGCTAAAACAAAAGTAGATTCATTTGAGCATGATGAAAACAGAAAAACATTAGACTTAATACCTACATATGGCAGGGTTTTTACAAAGTTTTACCTTTTAAAACTTAGCATATCTATATACTTGGGTTATATGGAAATAAATAAAGGGAAATATCTTCCCTTTACTCAAAAGTCAGGTATATTTGAGAAGTCAGGCAGCTAAGTGATACAGTAGATAGGCCTGGAGTTAGGAGGATGTGACTTCAAAACTGGTCATTTAACCTCTGTTTGTCTCAGTTTCTCCATCTGTAAAATGTAGAACAACCTTCCAAGGTTGTTGTGAGGATCAAATGAGATAATACTTGTAAAGTACTTGGTGCTTTATACTGTACATAGCACAGTGCCTGGCACATAGTGTGCACTTATATAAATGTTAGCTGCTGTTATTATAAATATTATCTCAGCTTCCCTTGCCCCAGAAATACTGAATTGCATATAGAATTTGGATGTGCTATAATACTGTGGATCTGGGAAAACTTGGGTATAGGTGAGGGTAACGGCAGGGAAAGAAGGGATGCTAATGGGGAAGATGGAGCTCATACAATGGGTCAGGTGGGCTGGTGACACCAGAGGACACAATCATGAGCCTAGACAACTTTGGGGTTACCTCAGTTTGTTTGCACCTGAAGAATGAGGTGTTAAACTTTCATGTTTCCTTGTTCGTCTAATTTCTTTACGATGTCATTCTTTAGATCTAAGTCATATATCCATATGGTGCTTATCTTTGCATACAGTGTGAGAGGTTGGTCTAAGTGTATCTAGCTTTTGTTATACTGCTTTCCAGTTTTCCCAGGTTTTTGTCGAATAGTGAGTTCTCATATCCATAGTTGGTGTCTTTGGGTGATTTAAACACTAGACTACTGTGTTTGTTTGCTGGTGTACATTGTATATCTAATTGGTTTCACTGATAAATCTATTTCTTAAATACAATAATAATATTGTAAAAACAAGTTTGAAAGACTTAAAACTCTGACCAAGGCAACTATGACCAACTACTATTCCAAAGGGTCAATGAAGTGTGCTAGTTCCTAATGGGTATGACTCAGTATGCAGAACAAAACATATTTTTGGGACATAGCCAATGTGGTAATTTGTTTTGACTATGCATATTTCTTACAGGAGTTGTCTTTTTTTTTTTTTTACTTTGGGGGAGGTAGAAGGGAAAGAAAATAGCTTTCTGTTCATTAAAAAAAATTGTACTAAAAAAAGACTTTACACTTTCACTAAAGTCCTATTGTATCAGCTGATTATAACATGGCAGTGGCCTTGAGTTTGCCAAATCTATGCTGCAGGTTTGGAGATGAAAAGGAAACACAAGTAACTCAAGCTAGAGAAAATACTACCAAGCTGGAAAGACTGGGTACAGACTTAGTGAGAGCTAGGCTGGACCTCAGAATGATCTTAGTAGAAGGAGAATCGCCAGCAGGTTGGCCAAAAGGTGAACTTAGCCACTGCAGATTTTGAAAACCACCTATAAGATTATAGAAAGGGGTTGTGATCTGTCTCAGTGGAGTGGGCAACCATACCACCAAAATCCTGTATCCTTGAAGATCAGATGATCTATGGTGTCTTACAGAACCACTGTTCTATACTACAAAGCAGTAACCATCAAACGACTTGGTAATAGTTAAAAATAGAGAGGTTGATCAATAAAACAGATTAGGTACACAACAAACAGTAGCAAATGGACACAGTAACATCGTGTTTGATAAATTCAAAGATCTCAGTTGCTGGAGTAAGGACTCACTATGTGACGAAAACTGCTAAGAAAACTGGAAAGCAGTTTGGCAGAAATTAGGTATAGACAAACATTTTACAGCAAGTATAACAAGACAAATTCCAAAAAGATATATAACTTATTCATAAGCAAATTAGAACAAAGAAAAAATTATTTTCCTGATCTGTGAATAAGGGAAGAGTTCATGATCAAACAAGGAATAGAAGGGACAGCATAAGATAAAATGGACATAATGGAATTAAAAAAACTTCTGCACAAAATAAAAATTAACGTAGCTAAACGTACAAGGGAAATAGGTATACAGAAAAAATCTTCGCCAAATTCTTTGATAAAATTCTCATTTCCAAGCTATATGGGGTGTCCCAAAAATCTTGGTGCAGTTTTAAGCTATGAAAAATCTTAAG